AACAATGGAGAATAACTAGTGTCCAGTCTGAACAGGTAGACTCTGTTAGACTGTAGGGTATCCTGGGTGAACGTTAAGAAAAGGTAGGGTGGTACTGGTAAATATGTATAAAATGTATAGTAGATGATAAATTCAATGAAGCATTCACAGAAAGCAGAGATAGAAGACAGATAGATTACCTAAAAACATCCAGGAGAGAAGGAAAGGAGAAGCAGAGACCTGATAAAGAGCAATTTGACCAAAGTCGATCCGAGACGGAAATGGATACCTAATTAACAGTGAGCAGAGCTATTAAAGTCAGATTAAGGAGAAAGAGGGACACCTGATAAAATCAGATAGATAGTGACCTGGTAAAACTGAGCCGAGATAAACTCCTTGGAGTGTCAGAGACCTGAGTGAGCCAGTGAGGTAAAAAAGACATGTACACAGACAGTATCACTGCTACTGGTGCTAAATATATATATATATATATATAAATATAATTCACCAGCCGCACAAAGATCAGAGGACAAAAGTACATTAACTTTAATCAGCTACTTTATGGTAGACATTATCTGTGGGTAAATATTCTGGAAAATACATTAAAATGACAAATTTTCAGCACTCTCTGTGTCAGCATATTGTGAGGAAATAGATGAAAGACTTCTCATGTGCAATTTCTTTATTCAAAACACCTTTGAATACTGCTGAGTGCTGCATTTTCCATCCATTTATATGCTACTAATTTGCAACAAAAGCACCTTGGTGAAGGTTAAAGATTCCCTCCAGACATGTATTAAGACATATAATCTGCTGGGAACAATAATGTGTCTGACAAATTGGCATCTACTCCTTCTCCCTCATAAAAAATCCTGCTGGATACAAGATGTCTCCTACTTCACTGTGAAGTCTCAGTCTTCTCAGTGTATGTGCACTGGGGGCTTCAAGTTTCTACATCACACTTGTATAAGTTGCAAACTGGACCAGGACTGGATCTTTTAAAATCAGATTTTCAAAGAGCACAGAGAAACTTCCTGCTTTCAGCAGATGCATTATTTGCTACTGCATATAAGATATTGTCAGAAAAACAAAATAAATAAGCTGACAGTAAACATTTTGCAGATACATTCTGTATCAACTAAATGAGACTTTTATTAAAACAATTTTTTTAATTCAGGCGGCATTACATTGCTCTCAAAATCCATTTTCTCTGTAATAGTGACAGTATGACAGGAAAGGAAGGAGATCACATGCACCAAAGGGCCCTGGGCCGCTGCGGTGAAGACGCAGCCTTGATATGTAGAAGAGCTATTGGGGCGACCCATGTTATTTCAAATTAGTCGTATAAATGTAATTTCTTGGAGACAGGGTTGTTAATGGGTATAATTTGAGGATGGACATTCATTCTTGACCTTGGGAAAAGTAGTAGAACAGAATAAAATTAACTTAACGATCCATTTACTGACTCTCGCAGCAGCATTCACCTGCAAAATGCATTAGAAAGCTAATGAAATGGTAGTGAGTAGACCTTTACTGTTAACATAATAATAAATGATTATTAATTCATGACTTTCATTGGATGGCAGTCTAACTCTGTTCCCCTCGAACCAAACCAAATAAAACTATTTGCAGCCTCCTTCAGGGATGTCTGGTCCCCCCTTCCCCCTGTTTGAAAACCTATGATCTACTTTAAGAAAAGCTGCTCTGGCTCCGGGCCCTGCCTCTGGCCCCGGCAGTTCTCCCAGCCCCTGAGACTGGGACGGCACCCAGCACCTGTCTGCCCCAGAGCTTCTGTTTGGCTCCATTCATGTGGAACATAACTGAGGTTTCACCCAAGAACAATCACAGAGGGATTCCCCGGGGTGCTTCCGGCTCGAAGCTGAAGGGAACTGGAGGAAATCTATATTCATAATTTGACCAGTTGGGGCCCTCCAACAGACACATACATTTCTCATGTAACTGAAACTGACCTAAAATACAACAGGTGACCTCTGTCTGCTCTACAGTGTTAAATCCTTACCTTTCTTTTTGTAGTACTCATCCTCATATCCATCAGATGAATCTGTGTGGTAGTCCAGCAACTCATTTTGGTAGATCACAGCATAGTCCACCTGTTTATTTTTTTTTTTACCCTTTTTCTTTTTATCTTCATCACTGTCCGCTGATCCCTTCTTTGCCTTCTTCTTTTTCTTCTTCTTTGAGTCCTCCTCTTCTTCCTGCTCCTCAATCAAGGGCTCCTCGTCATCATCATTGTGAGACTTCTTCTTCTTCTTGCCATCTTTCGACTTCTTATTCTTGGATCCCATCTCCTCCTCGCCCTCTGGATTCTCTGCAGAGGATTTCTTCTTCTTTTTCTTCTTTTCCTCCTTCGCTCCCTCAGTCACTTCCTCTTTGAGCTTCGCTGATTTCTCCTTTTTGGAAGTGGTCTTGGGGTCATTATTGTTCTGCTCACCCTCCTCAGCTTCATTTTCAATCACAGCACCAGCTTCGGCATCATCCTCTGGTTTCTTTTTCTTCTTTTTCACTTTTACTTTTTCTCCCTCTTTTTTCTTCCTCTCTTTCTCTGGGGCCTCCTGATTCTCGGAGCTCTCTGCGCTCTTGTGTTTCCTCCTACTCTTCTCTCCTTTTGTGGTGTCCCCACAGGTCACACCATTGCTTCTCTCCTTTAACTTTGGCTCCGTTTCCTCCACTTCGTCATCCACCTCTTCGGTTTCTTCTGAAGCTGTGGATTTGTTCTGTTTCGACGGCATCTTTTATTCATCCACTTCCCTGGCCTTTAGTTTCGTAAGTGCTGCCTTGAGTTTCTAATAGTGTAAGACAATTAATTTGACCCCTGGCCGTAGGGAGGTTCTGGGATCGCGGGGTTCAGAGCAGCAAGGGTGTGTGCGGCTGCAGGTATACAGACAGGCAGAGGGAGTGATGGCTGCCTGGACGTCTCCTACCTGGGCAATATATGGCCATACAGCCAACACACACCACTCATGAAAAATTACTGTCACCTCAGCACTCACGTGACCCACGGGAGAAAGCCCTGTGAAAAAGGAGCCTTGCACAGAGAACTTATCCTCTCTGCCACGGCACTCTCCATTATTCATGGTGTTAGGATCGCTTTACGGGCCGGGGGCGTCTCGCTTTTACCTGCAGTCACACGCACAGAGACAGATAGACTCACACACACAAACACACAAACACATAAACACACACACACACACAAAATCTCTCTTACAACTTCTCCTCTTTGTTTATTCTGATATAACAATGTGTTGCAACGTATAAAGCACATTTAGAGCTCCCATGTAAAAGAAACTCATGACTTGTAACACATTTACTGTATCTTAATATTTATTATGAATGAGTAAATATCCATGCAGCAATTATTTATTTCTTTCATGGCTGTTTTCAGCCAACTTCAGTGTCCACTTAAAGGAACAATCCAACATTTTGGGAAAATATTTGCTTTCTTCCCAAGAGTAGAGATTGATACTCGCATATATGTAAGCTTAACATCAAGCTGGAGCCAGCAGCTGGTTAGCTTAGCTTAGCATAAAGACAGGAAACAGAAAAAAAAACATGTAGCTTGGTTCTGTCCAATGTAACTATTCCTTACAACTACAATAACTTAACTTAAAGGGTTAATGGGAGTGCAATATAGTCTGAAGAAGTGCATTTAAATAAATTAAAATTTTTAATTTAAGCATTTGGTGACATTAAAGCTGCACTGGCCTTCCTCATCTGCACAATGACGCTTTTACAGTTTGTCCCCCAAAATACGATTTAACCTGATTTACTGAGAGTAAAACTGAACTCATGCTTCAATACCTCATAAAATTTCTTACTGAAATAAGTAATCAGTATGAATCAGAACTTTAATTTATTGGACATTCAATCATAATGTATATATTCAAGAAAACTTAAATATAGGACTAGTTAAGGTGCTAATGAGAAACATCCAAGAACATTTCCTCCCTTTATTTGTTCAAGGTAAAAGTTTGCAGCACTGTATTTGTTTACATTGGAAAATTGTGTTGAAAAATGCAAAGCTAAATCTAAAACCAAAATAATATAACATATTATATCATTATAAGAAATGAATGCTATTATTTGTATGAATGCATACATTTGTGTGTATGTCTTTTTATCGATTTCTATAATAGCAAGAACTCCTCTTTGCATTTTTTTCCCTTTGCAGTTCCATCACACTGGCGTACACATATGCACCTGACTATAAGCCAAATCATCCCATTAGCCTTATTGCTGCCACCTGACACCTGATAATGTAGCCATCAAGGGGAAGGGCAGAGTTTGGTCATATTGATCTTTCAACATCAGATTACCAAATCCACAGGTGACAGCAGAGAGTCAAACCTCATTTGACCCAGTGCACTGAGGAATCATTCCTTTAACAAAAAAGAGAAAATCCTACAGTATTCTTGACTAATCACCTTAATATAAATGTAATACAATATCATGATGGAATCAGATTTTATAAAAAGACTTAATAAATTATCTGTTTCATGATTTATATGAAGTATAGTTTGCATAATGTCATGAGATTAAATTTACCTGAACTTGCTGGTGGTCACTTGTTTTGTCTTGGGTCAGCAGACAGGTTGTTCAGCATCAGAGAGGTTGTTCAGCAGGACAGAATTCAGAATTCAGAATTCGTAGTCAGATATGATCTGCTATAATCCCAGCCATCTTTCGCTGAGTAAGTTGGTGAGAGGACACTGACACCAGCCACTGCTTAATAATTGAGGTGTTGACAGTTGCTTTGCTTAACGAGCTAATTGGAGCAGACAAACCACAGGTTAACTGGTCTGAATTGAGACAATTATCTCAATTAGCACCTTGTCTCGTGTGTTGATCACCACAAGGCAGGTAGCATATTAATGCCTATTTGTATCTGTGGTAAATGTATTAATATATCAATATATAAGCTTAAGTGCTGCAGTGTGCTCATGTTTTATCCCTACTCACACTAATGGACACACACAATAATAATATATCCATAAACAGACGAGTGAGAAAATCCAAACAAGTTTATTTACAAACACAATACCAGTATAAAGAATGATCCAGAGTCAGTTAAGAAGCACTGTGTTATACTGTATATTACCTCCAGTCAGTACACAGACCAGTTCCCTTCCTTTTCCATTCTGTTGTGATTCAGTTGTGTCTGTACAACAATTTAGTGGTCAAGCCAAAGTTTTTTTGGTGTTCATATTTGCTAAAATCCTATCTCTTTTGTATAAATACACAAAGAGAATAAGTGATGAAAGAAACAGCTTGTTTAAATCTTAAATCTTAGCAATGATGTCGTTTAAATACAAAGGACAGCTGAACATGAACGGAGGAGTTAATTTACAGTCTCTTAAAACCGTTCGCAGTGTACAACAAAATAAATGGTGAAAACCCACAAAGCTTTCCAGTGCTTAAATACAAACCAAATGTTCACAGTTTAAAGGGAAAGGTGAAATAATACAGTAGTAATAAAAAATGTTGTAGCATTTCACAAAAGGGCAGCAACCATCTTCATTCTTGCATCTATAATCAATGAGAACTGAACCTACTATTATACAACTCACGTCCAACGAATCCATTCATCTTTCTGTGAAAAGATCCAAAGCACTGTGAACTTCAGTCGAGGCTTAAGTGTAAACATATTTCAGTGGTCATTGAAGCAGGCACACACAAAGCCAAGTATAGATTAAAGTCATGCAGAGCATTACATGATTATGAGTGGAGTTTACAGGGAGAAAGACTTTGCTAATTCCAATAGAATATAAGCTGAGAACTGCACATGAATTTCTAATTTCTATCTTAGAATGTCTTAAATGTCCTTTGATTCAAGAGACAAACTAAGATTTAGTTTGATGTTAATGTATTTGTGGATAAGCAAAACACATGGGTGCATTGCATATCACGTAGAGGGGTTTGATATCTCATAAGGCAGCATGGCTTAAGACATGAATGACAACGAGAGGCTGGGTCGCTCAACAGAGCTATGTTGCTTTATAAATTGGATAGCCTCGAAAGTCAAAGTTTTGCTGAGGTGTTGTCATTGTAAAATATTCATCTGGCTTTTGTCAAAAATCTCCTCTTCTTGCCTCTTCTCATACACTCTTATTAATCACCAGAAATGTTGGAGGAAATGTTTTAAATGGGAGGAGGTAGGCCACTGAAAACAGGCCACTTTAATATTGTTTTTAAAATATTCACTCAGTGAATCTGGTGAATAGGAAATAGATTACAAAAGTAGACAATTGGATGTTATACTTTATCTTTTTTTTCATCTTTTTTAGCTTAATATCAAGGTTCCGGTTTTGTTTAACAGAAACATTAAAAGCTGCCACACCCACAGAGTGTCCGAGATAAAGAGAAAAGAGAGGGGGGTATGAGGGGGCACATGGACACCCACTGCGGCCCATTTCAGCGTAAATATCTGTGCAACGTTGAGTAGAAAACAACACCTCTGTACAGCAGAGCCACTAGAAAACTTCACAGAAACAACATCACTATGAAGACCACTTTTCACATTAAAAACAAGCATCCTGTGATTAGAAAGTCAGAGATAACCATAGTGATTTGATTGGCTAAAGAAACAACTTATGGTACACATCGAAAAGAGAAGTATGTTGGCAATTAAAGCAAGCAACCCTCAACGTGTCGTTGGACTAGTGAGAGCAAAGAAGTGTACGCTCTGAGGGCCAACTCTCTTTTTAAATAGTGTGTCATTGAAATAAAACACAACAGATAAACCTGATTTAAAGTAAACAAACTAAAATGTAAAATATTGAGCTTGAGTGGGAGATCACGTGCACTGCCCCGTGTGTACGTTGATGATCCCACGAGTATGCATGTGAATGAAGTTGAAAATTTCATGGGGCATCGCGTGGAAGCCCGGTCGCGGTTTGACGTTGTCATAGTAATGGTGAGTGATGAAGATGCCAGAGGGGTTCATGGGAAACGCCCAGAAACCGTAGAGGTGGACCTCCTCACACATCTCTAAGGCGGCGGTCACGAGCATCAGGCCGCTGCTGAGCCGTTTGGCCCGGACGCCCTGAACCGCCCAGAAACGCTGCACGTTGAGCAGGTACTGCGGGTGGAAGAAAAACACGCCTCTCTGGGAGTCGAAGTCGTCCAGCATGTACTTGACTCTGAAAGATACATCGGTGTTGCGGGTGTTGTAGAAAGCGGGAAGCACCACTGAGGAGTTCTCGTAATTCTGGAGGACTTCGTAAAACGGGCGCCGCCATTTCTCCAGCTTCTGAAATCTGCAGAGGAAGTGTAACATGATATGACAAAAGCCAAAAGAAGAAGGAGACTAAAGACAGAGAGCGATTGAGAAAGCGGGGAATATAGATCTGATTTCTCGCTCACACGTTATTTACAGTACCTCTCAGTAATAATGCTCGGATTTATTGTCACCAGATCTGTTTTAGTCCCAACATCAGCTGTGTACTTCTCACTAATGGGTGGTATGTTGCACCTGCAAAAAGATAAAGAAGTTTAAATGTATTTGATTAGTCTTGACACATTTGAAACTATGCATGCTGGTGAGACATATTGAAGAGCTGCACAATTAATCATATAATAGTTGAGCCAAATTTTACTGTTTGCTAAAATCATAGCTTAGCAACCTTAACTAGGTATGGCAGGCCTGTCAAACTTTGGATGTCTCCACACTGAAGCAGTGTGTAGGGACTGTAGTGGAGCAATATTATATAATATATAAATATATAAAGAGTTTGTCTTTGCCATTTAGTCATTTTTTCTGTTCTAACATAAGCTTCAGACATTAGCATGTCCAACTAACTAACCTAGGCTACTACCTACTTTACAAAATGAGTTAAAGGTTACATTAAAACAAGAACAATGTTGTTTCTTTAGGTCCATGTTGATTTACACTTAATCTTTTAGCACAATTTCATGTATGCAGCCATCAAGTGAACACTGCAAGACCCCTTCCCATTTTTTTTAATGAGAAACAGTAAAAAGTCAACCAGTGACAGTGTGTTTAACTTACTCATGGAGCTAATGGTAGATTAATTATCTGCCTAGCTAATAAAATCTACCAGCAACACATTTTTTCAGCCAGCAAATCAACAGTCGCCAGCTAAAAATAGGAAGCCTTCTTTTGTTTGCCCGTGTCTGTAATCAAGAACCATTGTTTCAAAATTACAAAGACTTTCAAGTGGTAAATCTGTCACCATTATCACTGTAAACTACATAAGTGCTGTGTGAGAACAGGAAGCTTGACAGACATAGCAACAGTTACTAAGGGCTTAGGTTCGGCCAAGTCTTAGACAAGAGCATCTTTATGACGCTGGCAAAGTGGAATGTGAATTTCATGTGACTGCGTGCTCTGTTGGAAATGTTTTTAATTTAAAATAGAATTAACTGTAATTGTGCAGCCCTCACACAACAAACAGTAAAAAATTATATCCTTTGTACCTAAACACAAAATCTGCTGAGTCAATTTCCTTTCCACATTTGCTGTTCTTGATGATGCCGCCATTTCCAATAACAGCACATTTCTTGTACTGTGATTTGGAATACGGCATATCCTGGATGAAGCAGACATATTTGGTTAAATTCAGACAGAAAACATTGAGGGCTCTTGATATCAAATGGCTCTCATTGTCAGGTTTAGTGAAAAAAGAAAAGACACATAGGGGATTTATAAAGTAAATTTTATCTTAGCAGCATCAGACCAAGGTATAATAAAAAAGCAAATATTGAGGAACACAGCAAACACTCATAAACAGGCGGCAAACTCACATCTGGGAACATTTTGAAGACTTCAGAGGTGATAGGAAGGATACCACTGGTGTCCACCTCGTACCTCAGCTTGGTCCCTGCAGGAGTGTTCCTCTTGGTGGTGAATAGAAACGAAGGAGCATTACAGCAGCGAGACAGAGACATCCTTTGGGAGGACACCAAAGAGAGGATACAGTTAGTTTATTTGTTAATGGCTTCATGGCAGCATCAAAAAACACAAAACTAGCTCAATCCTTGTGTTGAGTTGCATTGTGTTGTGTTGGCTTTACCCCCTCTTTGTTTGGAGTCCCACAGACTCCATTTCTGTATGTGTAAAAATGATAAAAATAAAGCAATTCTTTGCATTAAATGCTTTTTTCTTTTCTTCTGATCCTTTTAAAACCTAATATGCTATGTAGTATTTAAGTGGTGAAAGTTTCCCTTTGCTAGAAACCAGGCAAAATGCAGAAATCACCATAAAACTTAATATGTTTATTATGTTATAGAGTTACACATACAAATATCTATTTCTTTTGTTTGCCAGAAAGTAATTTAGAGACAAAGAAATGTGCAGTATGTTACACAGTGATGTGTTTGTGGTCCTTTTAAATAGATTTATTTGTAGTAGTATTTAATTATGTTTTACAGTTGAAGTTTCTGACACTTCAAACATAAGTAATGTGTCATTTTCTGTCGCAGAATTCTGAAACATATAATAAGTTAAAAATCGTGTTTATGAGCAAATTTAAAAGTGATCAAACAAGTGGTTTTTTTTAGCTATTTAGGACCCAGTGAGAACCTCAGAAGCAGGGCTCCGTACATTTCATATTCACAGAATAAACTGAGGTAAAAAAAAAATAAAAAATTGCAAACTGAGGGGGAATGAAGAAGTCAAGGAGATTTAAAGAATTTTTACATTGAGATGTAAATTTTTTTCTGCTAGGACTGAGTGATGCTCACTTGAAGTTGCTGGTTTCCTCCTTGTTCTGCTCCCATCTACACACCTGCAGGTTTCGCCATCTCTCAAACAGCTCTGAGGTTTTCACCCTGGCAGACAGGCAGAGAGACTTGTGGAATGAGGAAGGATAGCCATGGCCATGTTTTTTCCGATTAATGTTTCTACAAGGGTAGTAAATTGAAGAAACATCGTAAAAACCACTCAAAAGGACAAACAAGGGGACAGAATATTTTAGTGATTACTCTGTGATGGCTCTACAGATGCCATGCGGTCTGGACCCGTTAATACAGAGCCTGGCTTCATCAGGCATGTCTGTAAATAGCTGTCCTTGAACTGACATTTCTTTTGAGATGATATGGAGATGTGATTTGCTCTGGGAGGCAGGGTGGCACCATTACTTGTCTGTCTGTTTGGCAGAGTGCCGGCAGCTGCTCTCTCAGCCTCAGCTGAGAGTGGCTCGTGGCTCTTCATCAAGCTCCAAGAACGGGTTTGAAATTAAAGTTTGGCAGCCTGAGGGACACGCACAAAAGGTCACTGGACAATGTTCACAGAAGATGAAATGTGCTGCTCATATTTACATTAGCACAACTGGAATCAGGACTGTAATCAACCCACCACTAATCGACTGCATTATGTGAAAATGTGTTATTTATAGTGTGCTGTAAACTGACAATAAAAGATGGCAGTAACAACTTTCAGCTGTAAAATGCCGGCGATAAAAAGGATGGCATGTGGTGAGATTTTTCTTTTGTATATTGCAGGATTTCTCATCTAAAAACTACCAAGCTTAATAAACTATATACTGCCAATCATACATACACTATATACACTTTTTTTGTCACTAGCAGAGTGGCTTTACATGGCATTGTCGGTCAGTTGTTCAACCACTCCAGTCCAGACTGAAACAACTGAACAGAAACTATTGGATGTTCCATTAAATTTTGTACAGACATTTACATTCCGCAGAGGATGAATCTTAATAACTTTTGTGATCTGGCGCCAACTTGAGGTTGAGATTTATGATTTTGAGTGAAATGTCTCAATAGCTATACGATTTGGATGGATAGCCATGGAATTTAATGCACACATTCACATTCCCCTCTTGGTGAATTGCAATAATCTAGCGACACCATCATGTCAAATTTAAATATGTCAAGTACGTTAGAAGAAAGTCCTTTAGCCTCATAATGAACTCAAAAATGAGATGACAAGAAGCTCAAATGTAAAAGAGTTTTTCACAGATCTCACTGAACACATTTTAAAGGCTGTCATCATTCTGTTTAAGGTCCCACAAATATTTTTGGTTGTTTTTTTAGGATTACAAGGACAGTTAATATTTGGTTCTTCAGACCTAAAGGATAATTTATAAAAAAGTATATTCATACATCATAAATCAATCAGGGGGGCATTTTCTCCTACTACTTTCTACTTACCTGACAGGTGCTTGAGGAACACCTTAAGGGGGAAAAATAGGTTATTCTAAATAAGGCTGTCCACCATAGGTGTTGGTCATAATGATCACTCACATTGTCAGGACTTTGACGTCCATAATCTCCTGTCTGAGCTCCCTGCATGCAGTGGAGTTGTATTCAAAGGAGCCATCATAGTTTTCCAGATACCTGGCGGGATAAACACAGTCATCCTCTGCCTAAACCTCTCCACACACAAGAGAATCAACAGAACAACAAACTGTGGATAAAATGCAATATATAAAACAATTGTGCAAAGGAAAAAATATCTTATATTTACTACAAAATGTCTATGGTTTGACTTAGCATTGTGGGATGACAAATGATAGAAGTGATGAAACTGATTTTAGACGTCACAAACAGGATAGTTACATACTGTTTACTGGACACTTGCACCAGATTCTATTACATCTTAGTCTAAACCAATGAGATACACTATCTTAAGAAATAAGACCTCTCATATTTTTACTTATTTAATTGGTTATGATAAGAATTCGCATTGGTTTAATCCTGTGATTAAAATGTGCATGTATTCTGTATATTAATTTAGAAGAAAAACAGAAAACAGTCTGAAAGGGGTTTGTAGATAGATATAATAGATTTGATGGCTATAGCAGTGTAGCGTCTGGTGGATATGCTTTTGCATGAGGGAGCACCATATTAATACATTTATATAATTAACTGCATAAAAGTATACTATATGTCAGTTTGCTGGCTACAATTAGATCAAATTTAGACAGTGTCTGATTTCTTAATGTTCTGATACATTAGGCGCATAAACACATACACAGATGTTCATGCAAAGAGATAATCACAGAGGCAATAACCAATAAGAGTTTTTGGAATTTAATGTCTTTAACCAGAGCTAAAGAATCTAAGAATTTTATTTTACACATATAAATAAAAAATTACATTCAAATGGCAACATTAACCAAAAGCACACAAAAATAATGTCTTCAGTATGGTGGTGTGACTGTGTTTCGGTGGATTTGATAAAATGGTTCTGCAGAGAGTTGAAAGGATTCATACTTCAAGGTGTCAATTAGTTATCATTTATCTGTGCACTGATGCTTCATTCCTTGCAGCACAACATTGTATTTACATGCAATCAGCATGCAGCCTGGATAAAATGTGTGCGTGTGAGTTTGTGTGTTTTTCGGGATGGGAGAGGTTAGGTTGGAGGTTTCTATGGTTACAAGATCCTTTAATTATGTTGGACAATTTAGGATTTTTATTATGCTTTACAGATTAACCGAAAACAACAAATCTAATTTAAGTGCACTTTGCTGAAAAATATCTGGAGTAAATGGACGTGAATGTGAAGTTACTTGACTTGCTGATGGACTGTTTCAGTTTGATGTTTGAGATGTAAATAGAAGATAAACATTTGAGAAAGAAGTAGGGAACTCAAACGCACAAAGAATCCTCTTTGACATTATTACATCTAATTTGTACAATATGATGGATTTGGTTTTTGACTAAACATAATGACAAGTGCTTCACAATATAATTTGAAAAGGCCTTGAAATGCAAATGTGATGTATATCAGCCGAATTACTTTGTCTAATTGTCAATAGTTTAACCCCCAGAGGGTTTCTATCTTTAGTCCAGATCTATAATTTTCCTTTTAGGTTCAAGCAGAGGGCCACCGAACTCTAAACACTTATCTCTCTGTGGTTGCATTTAAATAAATGTGTTTTATATAAATAAAGTTATTGAACCAAAGCAAATTTAGCTCTTAACTTAACTTTTATTAAAATATGTACAGTAATCATAGCTTCAAAATATAGGGCTCTAAATGTTGTAATATATCTTTCAGATTTATATATACATATAATATGTATAATGCCTGAGGGAAGGTGAAGGGATTTAATGCCAAAGTGGCAGCAACTGCAATGTGTATTTGTTAGAATGAATGTTGTTTTTTGTCACATCAGAGAGATAGGATGTAGTGTGGCGTTTTGGGAGATGGATAATATTGCAACATATTACCTGAGGCTGTGGAGGTAAATGAGGTGAGTTTTAAAGAAAACAATAATAGTAAAAGAACACAACAAGCAATACAATGGCGGGATGCAGTAAAGGAACAAGATGCTGGGATGTAATCGTACAAATAAGGAACAATGAAACTGGTTGTCTACATCCACCTGATGATGCAGTGTATTTCTGAGGTTGTATTTGAATAGGGCTATTCATGCTTGTTTTAGCTAAGATGATGAAACCTTTGCAAGTGTACTCGGTTCAGTTCTAAAAGCAAGGGAATAATTAACTTGACGAGATTAATTTAATCTCGTATGGCATCTTAGTTTAACTGTACAATGCTGGTTCAAAACCAATCCAGACTAACCAGCATTTCACCACAGATACTGACATCTACGGCCCAGTGCAATGAGGATTTGGAGCTTTGGGGAAATAAATCTGGTACGTTCCCATCTTATTGTAATAAGGAAAGTAAAGTGGAAAAGGGGGTTAAATCCAGGTCGCAGAGAGAGACAATGCAGATGTGAGAAGGGGAGATAGGGGGAGCAGAGAGAAGTGTCCACACTATGTACATGGCATACATACAGAGCTGTGCAGAACACATGAGACACAGATTGAGGAGAACAAGGCATTTGGAAATGGGTGCTGGATGGGACACAGAGGTACGAGGAGAAGCCAGTACATCAACAGGAGACCGTGGTTCTACCAGCTTCTGAAAGGGGGGATGGGAATCTGGGGTCGAGGTGAACGGGATCAGACAACATGCAGGCAAATCTGAAGTGCAACCACCACTGAAAAAATATGAGAGTTTATACCTTTCAAACTAATGAAAAAAAAAGGCATTCTTGGGTTTCTGTGAAAATACTTAAAATGCCTTCAGACTGGCCTACCTTTGAGGGCGTTTTTTTTTCTTCTTAATATCGGCTAGGCACGGTGTGACTATTACGGAGATCTGTGAATCTGGCTGAAAATTCTGACGGAAACATCTGTCAACATGCAGACAGGTTAAGTTAGAGTTAAATGTGTTATGTAGTCCTGTGACATTACCACCCCTGCTAACTTCCTAAACCTTCAAAACAAGTATAGAGAAAAAATTTGTAAATATGCTGCAGCTTGTGTTCACTCTATAGCATCTGAAGGAGACTGGTGGGCGTATCAGCAGCCCAGTCCACACATGCAGGGCTGGGTCATTACTATGATGGATTTGAAACTTGTGTTCTCTTTCACTCTATCTCTCTCTTTCGCTCTCTCACACACTCTTTTTTTCACAGAGGTGTTGTGCAGTCAGTCACGCTGGAAAGGTACCTTTTCCTTCCATTTCTGGCAGGCTTCAGAGATCCATCATCCGAGAAATTAACAGGACCGGTCCAATTTCCTGTCTCGTCCCCTTTGAGTCGGCTAAACTGTTGCGCACTAGTAAGAAAATGAGTCAGTTTATTTTTGGATGTATTGTCCTTATTGTGCAAATTTCAAACACATACAACCAAGCTCATTTGTTCACTCACAAAACTCAAATTTGCACATTCACGCACACATATGCATCAAAGAGGACCAGCTTTCTGGCTCAAGAAAAACAGTCAACGTATGACACCAAACATGGTTAGAATGAATTTTTTGTTAATGACATCATGGTTTGAATGGTTAATTTATGCTGTGCTGGGCTGTTGCCACTATCCTGAGTGTGATTCAAACACTCACACTGCAATATTGGCCTGCAGGAGTGTTAGTCTTGTAGTTCAATATATTAAAGTCACAGTGATTTAAGGGAGAAACAATAAACGTTGCCAACGTTGCTGCGAATGTCAAATCACTTCTGAGGAAGAGATGCCAACAGATTTGCCAAGTGTAGATATAAAATAGCCAATTTGGACGCGGTTTTCTGCCAGGTATTATTGTTAAAGTTTACTAGTTCCTACTCACCCTGTGAAAACGGTTTTTCTGTGGAGCTTGGTCCAGTCTGAGAAAATAACACCAGTGATGTTGACAGGGTTTACCTCAACTTGGACTACAAATTTGAATTAGAAACTTGTCTGTGTCTAATGAAAATATGCCAAAGAAATTTGCCACAGAAGACATTTTGACCTGAAATAGTAGGGTAAACACAGGTGTTACCAGTGATAGTAATTAAGGTTTAGTTCCATTTAGTGTAGAAGAGCCTTTAAAGTGAGCCAACATGCACAATAGCAGCACTCGGACTCTGTTGAATTACCTCAATTAGTATAATTAGTAACGTCTGTGTTTACCCTACTATTTCATGTCAAAATGGCTGCTGTGAAAAAGGTCTACTGGTTGCATTATTGGAAATATAGAAGTCGGGGTAAATTTGGCCTCAAATTTGGGCTGCATCAGTTTTTATTAAAACCATCATAGTGAATTTATCCGAGGAGGACATTTGGTGCAAGTGGTTCACATCAGGAGGATGTTGTAAATGTAGAATAAACCAACACATTTTGTGGCTGTTTTGGGGGGCATAGAACAAAGGAAATATATCATATTTCAATGTAAATTAAAGGATATGGCTAAAAATATTATATATTTTTGCTATTCTCAATAAATCACCTGGAAAAGAACCAACAATGTACAACTCAATCTCTCCAGCCTGTCTGTGGCTCTCAATCCACTGGTTCCTACTGAAGATGTAAATCTATATACTTTTATTTTAATAAAGGCTCTGTGATTTCGTGAAACTGTAGTTTATAGCAATATACTCAAATAGAGGTAAATTGCGTATTTGTTGAAATTATTTTCAGCCACTGATTTTGTGCATTGGCTATTATGTACAGCATCAGGAGGGTGTGTGTGAGACTCAAAATAAACATTGTTGCAATGAAGTAACATGTCACTCAGGGCAATGGCGCATTTTTGCTCATTGCATGGACAACAATGGAGGTCTATGGAACAGAGGAATAACCTGTACCAGGCTTTGGATACACCTGGATCGATTCATTGTTGTTTTTGGTCTTTTTGTGGAATTTGTTGACAGAAATATATAGCTGTTTCCATACATTAAAATATCAGTGGATGTACAACTTCTCCTATTACTGACTGATTATTATGCGTAAGTAAGTAAGTATTCATGTGTGACTCATTTCTGTGAGTGCTCTGTGGGTGTCGTGCTAAATTCAGCAGGAAAATTAAACTCAAAGAGCCTTTCTGGGTGCATTATGTGATAAGGCATTCATCATCGGGGACTCATGTCAATACTGATCTGCAGGCACATTTGGCTTCTCTGAGTGCTACTTCAACATCTCAATAACACTCTGCAACCGGCTGCAGAACAGAACAACCTAAAATCAGGGAGATGCTTATGCCTCGGTTTAGGATGCGTGCCTAAAAAAAGGCCAGCTGTCTGCTAATCAAACCAGCATAATTGTAATCGTATCTACAATTTATCTTAATCACCAAAACATTATGCAGCTTAATTTCTAACTAAAATGCTGATCAATATCAACCAGAGATTATACAATACTGATATGTCCCTAAATAATCCCACGTGACTACTACTGACTCACAGATCAATTCACTGTATTCAGTTCACAGTTAAAACACCACTGACTCAATTATGAGCACAATACAGACAGTAATCTAAGCATTAGATCAGACAAACAATAAGCACAATGTTGCTGTGCAGGACTAATGTGCTCTGATTCTGCCCTTGAGCCTTGTTAATGGGACTTGGAAGCAGGGTGGACTTTTATACTATTTGATTATGTGAGTTTGGTTTTTAGGGAAGGGCCAGGCACCTTCACTCAGATGTCCATTTGCTAGAATATCCAGGGGTATTTTCCGTAACAACTAAAGACTCCTTAAGATGAGAATACTTCATTGTCCTTACCAAAAGAGGGAATTTAACGCAGTTGTTTATGAAAACAAACGCAATCTCCTCTCGATCTCTTCCTTGTTTGCTGTCTGCATAGACTCGTAACAGGGAATCACTCCTGTAAATGGTGTAAGTGCTCGGACTTATAAATTATGAACTAGTGGCTCCATGTGCCGGTATGTCAACTGCATGTTACCAAACTAACTAAAAATTTGCAGAAAGCTGCTCTAAATCGGGGAGACACAACCCAAATAATGCATGAAGAAGGGCTCATGAACAAAGTCACATGTACTGTCAACTATCTTAACTGATAATATTTTTATAATATAATGTGAGTTATAATAAACCAGAATTATCTTTTAATTATGGAATTAGCCATCTTCAATGTGCTGAAGTGATTTGTTTGTTAATCAATTGGTCAAGTATTTATTATAAAGCCGACAATTTTCCAATTGAATAGTAGTTTATGTCATTTATCAAGAAAGAATGCTAAAACATTTTCTGATTTTTATCAGATTTGTTTTGTTTTATATCTTTACAATTTGAGTTTCTTTTGTGGACTGACGAAAATAAATATCTACAGATTCACTCACAATGATGTTCATTATTTGCAGCCAAATGCACAATGCTCATTTTCGGATGGCTGCGAACCAACCCCCTCCAGCCTGGTGCCACTCTCTGTAGCCGAGAGTATTTTTAGAAATCACCCTCCTCAAGTCAAATGGAGTTGAAAGTTAATGTCTTCCTTTACAAAAGTGTGCCACTCACTGTGATCATATAATAAACTTCACTGTGTAATCCTGCACTGCCATTTTACAATCCCACATCCTCCCACAACTTCATCCTAATGTGAGTGAAAGCAGGCAGGAGGCAGAATTATGTGACACCATAATGTGACTCCACGGAAACTCAATGGCCAGATTTATCAAGTACAACTATGTTCATGACTTAGTTTGACTTTAATGGGCGTCCTTATACATTTAGAGGAGATGCCCTTTGATTGATTGATTGATGATGTATCTAAAATGTCCTCCTTACGCTTTCTCCCAATCAAAGCACCCAAATGTCTCCTCTGCTGTCGTTCTAGCCTAGACCGCTATGCCCTGAAACACAAGAGCGCACGATAAGCATGCTCTCATGCTTGGTTTTGGTGTAGGGGAAGAGGCTGGGTGTGGTCGAACCCATGTGGTCAACGACGTACGATTGTTTATGCTTGTATAGATATCATAAGATGACGTCTTCTCCCTCTGTCTCTGCAACATACACACACACACACACATGCAGTCATTTCATCACTCCTTTTCAGTCTCTCGCCTGTCTCCTTCCTCTCTCTCTCTCCCCCACTTGCACTGAGGTGTGTTGTGTGTGTGTGTGTGTGTATGTGTGTGTGTGCAGACAGACTGTAGCAAAATGGCTGCCGCTGAGCCCACTGGTTCCCCCACCCCCCCTCTCCTAGGCTAAGCGCTAGGAGCAAAGTAAGGGCACAGGCGAAGAAAGAAAGGTGCGTGTGTCGGGTCTGAATTCATGCATCTCACCGCAGAGGTCGGGATGCCATGAATCCACATTGAGTACTGTCAGACCAGCCCAGCAGGGTGGCAGGGGAGGGGTTAGCTGTGGGGAGCTTTCAGATTGCAGCACATGTATGTTTGCTTTGAGGTAAACATATATGTGCTGTCTGTAAAATATCTGGAGGTGGGGATAAAGTTTTCAGATTGTTTCTTTGGTTTGGAGTGAGAATTGGTGTTCTTTGTGAGATTCTTTAAACCACCTAAAGATCAAACATCCCGGCTTCTCAGCATCTGCTCGTCTCACACTGAAATTTGTCTGAGATTGTAAAGGCAAAGGGGGGCTCCAATTTAGTGGATAGATATGCAAAAGTAGACTTCCAACCAGGGTTCAGCTCAAGAATCCATATCAGGGAGATAATGCTGTTGCAGAGGTATTATAAAACGTGGCTCTGCAGTGGCTGTGAGTGCAGCCTGGTAAAATGATTTATTTAACAGGGACCAATAAGAAATACACATCATCTTTATCATATTGATATCTGTAATCATCATCAGCTCCAATAGCTTTTAGTTGCATTATGCTAATCTGATGCCTCTGTAAGATGTAGGCTACGACCAGTCAAGAAGGCTGAAACGGAAAATCAAATAAAGATCTTTGGAAAAGGAAAGGGAAAACATTACCATACACAGCTGGAGCACTGTGTATGATATGAATGTGATGCTTCGTTTTCAGAAAATATCAACAAAATAAATCCAATGGAAACTGTTTCTATGCCACTGGAGAAAAAAGATGGATGGTTAATTGCTATTGTTCTTTTCAGCCAGTAAAGCCTGTTTCCCCCCCTCATGCGTCCCGACATATAGATCACCCAGTCTACTCCCATTTACACTGAACAATTTATCATTTTTTTCATCATTCAGTCATTAATTAAGATCAAAACTGAGCAAAAAGCCTCGCACAAAACGGCTTTTGAAGGCATGCTTCTTTTTTTTCAAAGGCTTAATGTTATTTCTTACAGTGTGTACAACTCTCACAAACAGCAAAGGCCTCCTGCGCGCTAATTGCCTTTTATTAATGAGGATAAACAGAAATAACCTGACACTTACCTCTTAATGTAGTTTTTTCCATAGAGAATCTGTTGCAATAGTGTGACGAGTCCAAATGCGCAAATGAATATAAAACAAAGAGATCTATTGCCGAGTATATCTTTGCCCGACGATGGGTCGGAGTATGCCATTCTTCGGCGCAGCATCCAGGGTTGACGGTGACACCCGCTTAGGTGTCTCTCTCCGCTGCATTCAGGACCAGGAGCGCCTCTGCCTTGTACCCGCTGGACAGGACATTGTCCGTCACCTTTCTAGGCTATTTTACAGCTCTCATACCGCAGCATCGTTGCTGTTGTCGATAAGCATCGTAATTGTGACCTCAATTGCAAAGCATTAGTGGCCCTGTATTCCTGATCTGCCTTAAATTATTCCTAAATCTTTATATATTTCGCAAACGGACGGGTGTAAAAACATTAAACGTCCCGCAGCGGATTGTTGATTTCTATCGGATGCGGTGCGCTACTCGTGTCGAGGCGCAGTCGCTCGATCGGATGCAAGCAATGCAGATTATCCAAAATAAGGCGCTCAGGAGGCTATTTTTCCAAGAATTAATCCCGCAATGTTAAATCAGAAGGGATAAAGCAACGGCACCGATGCCAAACGCGATTATGTTGTTTTTTTTTTTCAATTACTGATACGATTTGCGACAGGAAAAAAACACACACACATCTCCTCCATGCTTCATCTCAAATCTGAGCAAAGCTGCGTGACTGAAATGTAAAAGAGGAGGAGGGTGCGCCTTTTCTCAGCCTGGCAGTCGGGGGCGCGCCGCGTTTCATTCAGATGCTCCTTACTCAGCCAAAACCCAAGGTCATGGTCTCCTTTACAATGATGCACCTGCGCACTCTAAATATATTATAACAGCACAATTCACCTGACCTCCTTAGGCTGCAAGAATTTACCAGAGACCGACACTTAACTGCAGATTATATAATCTCAGAAAATAAAATTCGCTGTAATGTTTTTCAGAGCTGATGCTGCTGCAACACTGCACATTATTTCGCAGTATCACAGGTTTTTAGCTGTGGTTATTTCTCAGTATTCATCCATTCCCAAAGTCAAATGATGGACAAAGGATTCTTGCACTGCATTAAAGACTCCATTCAGACATGTTTTAAGACATATGTACAAATAGTCGACTTGGAACAATAATGTGTGTCTGCAAAATGTATGATTTACACATTAAAATCCATAATAACAAATCTTCTCCTTCTACCTCATTAAAAATTCAAGAATCTATGAATATGCAAATGTTGCTCCTTTCTAAAGTTTTCCTGCTTTTTACTGCACTGGTGGCTTCAGGTTTCTACATCAGACTTAGTTGCATAGTGGACCAGGATTGACTTCGGAAATCTGTGTAATGTCACATATCCTGCTTGAAGGCCCCTTAAAATATTTCCACTTTTAGCAGATGGATGTGAAAACATCCTTCTAGNNATCCTGCACAGTGAAGCTCAAACACCCAACTGAAGGAACAAGCAGAAAAACATGTTTTTGTGTGGAGGGGGACTTTAATGATATCTTTACGGTTATATTTGAAGTTAACTTTAGTGTCTCTGTCAGGTCATGGAACAATTTCAAACCTTGACAGCCACAGTGTGACAAGCTAAACCCTGATGCCATGACAAAAGTACCTTCTCAGAGCCAAACTCCTGACAGAAATCAGTGGATTAGTATTACTGCCATTGATTTGTATCCTCTTTGACAGCTGTTTGATCATGTCATCAAAGTCCATCCGGTGCAGTCTGCGTTGCATTAACACCTTCACAAGCAGCAGAGTCGTAGGTGGATGTGACAGAAGAAATATCTTTACAACGAGCCATCATATAGTCATAATGGTGTCATACTTGAAATGTGGGAATATATCTGCAGTGATCAGTGAGTGTGTTCACAGATATGTTAAGCCTTTACTTTTACTGACACATATTGCACAATTTACTGTAAGTAATCTGCATCACTGAACCATCCAAAAGTCATTAGGAAAGACATACATTTGAATTCTATATATTTTTTTTTACTTTAAGCCATCCATCACCATAGAGGCAGCAGGCTGTGACAAATTATCCCAGACATCCTTGTCTCGAGCCATGGCCTTCAGCACCTGAGGCACTCCCAGGCCAGATTGGATATTTAGTCCCTCCAATATATTCTGTCTGCCTAGAGCTGCTACAAGTTGGACGTGCACAGAATATCTCAGAAAAGTAAGCTTGTAAGAGACTTCACCCACTCCCCTTGGCAGAGTGAGCCAACAAATCCTGCAAAGGAAGCTCATTTCTGCCTTGTATATCTTTATGTCACCACCCAAAGCTTGTCGTCCACGGCCAGATAAATCTGACAGGCACTGGGATGTTTAATGAGCAGTTGGGCCCTACTGACCTTCGCTTCCTTCCACTCTCTATGTGCTGTGTAAGTATTCAATTAAAATACCATCAAGTATACGGTTCACAAATCAGACAACACATGGCAGCATTACAAGAGTTTAGAGATTATACTTATAATGTGACCAAAATTGCATCCATGTTACAGGATTAGAACTGAGCAAACTCAATATGTGAGATATGGATAAAAGCTCAATTATACCTTCCAGAATCCCAGATACCAGTGAGTATACCAATATACTACCCAGCCTCCACCTTGCTGTGTTAGTTGTAATTTAATTAAACACAAATTTCGAATACGCACCGTGTAAACACATTATCAACTAAAATAATCGACAACCAGCCCTTACTCTTACCAACACAACACTAATCTTCCTTTTTAATCTTGTGCTCCGTTTTACACTGATGAACAAGACCAACAACCTTGAACTGATTCAGTTGGGGCAGCAACAGCATCCCAGAAATGACAGTGGCAATCACTGTGTATAACATGTTGGGAACGAATGTTTTAAAGGTTGTACATTACTAGTTTTAATTACAAACAACAAAAATCGTAACAGATAGGATATTCCTGGGTACTAAAATGCTGTATAAAGTATTTCATGAGGTTTTAGGGTGAATCATGAGGCCGTCTGTGTGTTCATAATTAAAAGAAGACTAAAGAAAAAAATACTGGTGCCAACCTGGCCTCCATTCAGGACTCAGAAGTCAGGATACAGACGGAAAACATCACTGCAGACCCATCACACTCTGGACCCAACCTGTTCCAACTTCAGCCCTCTGGTAGGCGCTACAGAGCACTATAAGTCAAAACAATCAGACACAGGAAGTGTATTTTTACAGGCCATCACTCTGATAAATCAACAATATAATGTCCCTGTAAAACTAAACACATCCACTTACCTACGAATTATATATTTACAGTTTCAAATACACACTGGGCTTTCCCATTACGTCATCCAGCTATAAATCCTGCACCCTGTATATAGATGTGATGCATATGTAGGCCTATGTAACCACCCACTTCATGTATATAAAGCAATTTTTTGTTTTGTTTATAATCTACACAAGACTTGACTTGTAGATTTAGTTGTTGGTCATTGTTGCTCTTTACACATATTTTCCCCTATTCGTAATAACTATGTTTCTTTATTCAGCTGTGTTGTCTTAGTTTTATAGCTAATGTCTTTTTCCATCTTCCTGTAACTTGTTCTTTTGATGTACATTGAGAGCAATTTAATAATCCCTTGTATGTGTAGCTTATACACACTTGTCCAGTTGAGCTGATTCTGATTTTTTTTTAAAAATAGATTTAGACACTTTATATGGAAATGAAATGGAACTTTCCTTAATGTTTATTTTCTTTAAACACATCAAACACAAATCTGCACTTTTTGCACATTTCAAA